TACAGATGCCATTGGTGATGGAAGAAGCACTAAAGTACCATACCACCCTCACTGTGAGTCATTTTCTGCCACATTTCTACAGTGCCTTTCATATTTCCTATTGCCTTTTCCCCCCCTAGTTTTGTATTCTGAGAACCAAAAAAGCTGAGGAAATGTTAAAGATTAACGGAGAAAGAAGCAAACCAAGGAGAAAAGCAGTAACAATAAAAGAGATTGTGTTACTGCTGACAAAGCAACTATTTGTTCATAACTATATAGGCTGGTGATCAGGAAGGAACATTATGGATGCTACAGCCTACTGTTACAGTTTTTTATTTAATAGAGGTTTCTTTAATATATTTTGGTTACATTTTTAAAACTAGTTTGGGTTAAGAACTAACTCATTATAATTTTACCATTAAAAGCGAAGGGAAATAGGCTCCCAGTAAATGTTTTCGCATAGAATATCTGTAATTTGTTCAGAGACAAGTTACTAATATTAAGTAGATACCCAGGAGCTTCCCAGGTGGAGCAATGGTAAAGAATCCACCAGCCAATGCAGCAGTCAAGGATTCGATTCCCGGCCTGGGAAAATCCCCCGGAGTAGGAGAGGGCAATCTGCCCCAGTAGTCTTGCCTGGGAAATTCCATGGACAAAGGAGCCTGGCGGGCTACAGCCCATGGGACTGGGGAGAGTCGGACATGACTGAGCGACTGAGCCCAAGAAGAAGAAGAAGTAACTATCCGTATGAGCGAGTGAGGTCGCTCAGTCATGTCCAACTCTTTGCGACCCCATGGACAGTAGCCTACCAGGCTCCTCAGTGGGTTGCCACTTCCTCCTCCAGGAGATCTTCCCGACCTAGGGATTAAACCCTGGTCTCCCTCACTGCAGGCAGACGCTTTACCAGGGAAGCCCCAAACTATCTGTATAATTCTAACCAAAACTATCAAAGAGGGGCTTTCCTGGTGGTCCAGGAATCTGCCTTACATTGCAGGAAACACCAGTTCAACCCCTGGTCTGGGAAGATCCCACATGACACAGAGCAACTAAACCCCCGTGCCAAGACCACTGCAGCCTGTAAACCTGCAGCCTGTGCTCTGCGCCAGGAGAAGCTACCACAGCAAGGAGCCCGAGCACCGCAACTACAGGGTAGCCCCCTGCTTGTCGCTACTAGAGAACAGCCCGCGCACATCAGCGAAGGCCCAGCACAGCCAAAAATAAGTATACAGATATCTAAATACACAGACAAATGAAAAAAACTACCAAAGACAGTATGAGAAAGGTAAACACACTCCCCTTTTGTCCATAAACATAAATGCAGTAATTCTAAACAGAACAGTTTTTGAAACGACAAGTTTGGTTTCACCCAGAAATGTAAGGCTGGTTCAACACTAGCAAATGTATTCGCACAATTCACCTCATTAACACATTATAAGAAAAAACCATGTGTTCCTCTCAATAGAGGCAGAAAAAAAACATTGAATAAAATTCAACATCCACTCATGATATATTAAAAAAAACTATTAGCAAACTAAAAATAGGACACTTCTCTAACCCAATAAATGATGAAATGCATAAAATGTCATACATGTCGTACATACATGCTGAAACTTTACAAGCATTCCTTCAAAGCTGTGAACAAGACAAGGACATCTATTATCATTCTAGTCAACAATATCCTTCATGTCCCAGTCTGGGCACGCACACACACACACACACACACACACACACAGTATAAGCAGAAAGGAAAAACACTTCCATAGATAATATGATTGTTTAAAGATAAAATCCAAGAAAATCACAAATGATTTTAAATTTAGTATTCAAATTATTTAATATCTATTGGATTTTCTATCAGACCCCTAACTCCCAACATAAAGAAAATGTCAATCCTATACGGATTAAGCACTTCACAATGAAATGTGCATAGCTTATCTGCAACATTTTGCTGTGTTCCTGATGAGAAAATTGAAGCAGGACAAGGAGCAGGGGAAGAAAAACAGACCACTTCTCACTCTCCACCCTTACAGGGTTTATTAGTTTTCTCTTGCCACCATAACAAGGTAACACAAATTTAGGAGCTTCAAACAACACAGATTTATTATCACAGCTCTGTAGGTAGGAAGTCTGGCATGAGTTTCAGTGGACTAAAATCAAGATATCACCACGGCTGTGTTCTTTTCTGGAGACTCCAGAGGAGAATCAGCTTTCATGCACACTCAGGTGGTTGGCAGATTCAGTCCACACAGTTGTAGATAGGAAGTCCGTGTTTGCTTGCTGGCTGTCAGATGAGGGCCATTCCCAGATTCTAGATGCTGTCCATACTCTGGCTTCAAAGATCCTCCTCCATCTTCAAAGCTAGCAATGGAAGGTTGAGTCCTTCTCCTGCCTTCTCTTCTGCCACATTTCTCTGACTTTTTTCTCTGCGTTTTTTATCTCCTCATTGCGGGATCCCTCATATTAGTCACATCTGCAAAGCCCCCTTTTTACTACATAATGGAACATATTCACGGGTTCTGGGAATTAGGATGTGGACACCTTTGAGGGACCATTATTCTGCCTACCAATCAGAACAAGGAAACTGAGTTTGTTCCATGCTTGCATTAACACTGTAGGTAGCTTGTACATCTTTCCATAATGCCTCCACTCCAACAGCGTAGGAAATATCCCCTATCTTTTTCTCACGTCCTTTCTGCTTGTGTTGGCTGAATTATCAAGCTTTCCTTCCTAGGCTATGTGAGGTCAAAGCAGACGGGAAGATGAAGAATTTAGAATTAATTTCCTGACACTAACATTAATCCAGTAATTGAAACAAATGCCTTCTATTCTTGAACCATCCAGGGTTTAGGGATGATTTACAAGGGACTGATGAGAAAGAATGAGGTGGGAACAAAATGTCAAGACAATGAAAGGAAAATAGCAGCATTGTACCCCCCTTCCTTAAGACATCAACCCAATAAGTTTCCATACTTGGGATGGCAGTAAACAAGGAGAATATAGCTCATCAGAGTCATTAATTGGGCGTCACTATGTACTGTACAGTGTTAACTGATTCAACAAACCTTGCTTAAATCTTTCATCTACGTGGTACATAGCAAACTCTGGGACATAGTGAAGGACAGGGACGCCTGGCAGGCTGTAGTCCGTGGGGTTGCAGAGTCAGACACGACTGAACAACCACAATGTGGTACCTGGGCTTCCCAAGTGGTGCAGCAGTGAAGAGTCTGCCTGCAGTGCAGGAGACACGAGAGTTGTGGGTTCAGTCCCTGAGTCAGGAAGAGCCCCTTGAGGAGGAAATGGCAACCCACTCCAGAATTCTTGCCTGGACAAATTCATAGACAGAGGAGCCTGGTGGGCTACAGACCTAGTGAGTCACAAAGAGTCGGACATGACTGAGCAACGGAGCAGGCACACATGCACGCATGTGGTCCACAGGCAAAGGTATGAGGTATTACCCATAAAATAGAACCCTGGACTTAGAGAGGTGGTCACTTACCCAAAAGCACAAAAGTCAAAGAAAGAAAGAAAGTCAAGCCGCTTAGTTGTGTCCAACTCTTTGTAACCCCACGGACTGTAGCCTGCCATGCTCCTCCATCCATGCGATTTTCCAGGCAAGAATACTGGAGTGGGTTCCCATTTCTTCCTCCAGGGGAATCTTCCTGACACAGGGATTGAACCTGGGTCTCCCGCACTGCAGGAAGACTCTTTACCGTCTGCCCATCAGGGAAGCCAAAAGTCAAAGAGCTGGACAGAAACGTGGGTCGGCTGGCTCCTCCAGCCCAAAGAAATATCCTCTCACTGACTTTCCCTAGCAGGAAGGCAAGGTAGAAACATGCCATAATTCCCAAACTGTACCCTTCAGAGTCTTCAAATAACACTCTTTGAGGAGACCTTCTCTTTCTCCAACCTTTCTCTCCCCAGACTTCCTAATGGAGGTCTCAGCTTTATTTACCTTTTTATGGTCATTGCGCGTTTACTTCTGCATGGTCCCTGCCCCTGTTGTCCCAGTGGTGATGCGATCATTCAGGCTAGTCCATGTGGGATGACCACCGGACTACAGGCGTTACTGATCCTTTTCTTTTCTCCTTCCTGCCTTTCCTTCTTCTCTTTACTCTTTCTCTGTTCTTTTTTTTTTTTCTGTCCTCACTTCTCTCTTTCCTCTTTTCCTTTCATTCCTTCCTTCCCTCCCTCCTTCCTGTTTTCTCCCTCTCCATCCCCCTCTCTTTCTTCCTGCAATAAGCTTCAAAGAAACAAAGAAAGGTGCTGGGCTGTAGTCTCTGGCTCTTCTCTGCTAGGACTTGAGGTGCAAGGAAACCACACAGTCCCAATCACTACAGTCTCCATCCCTCCGGAAGTTACGGCTGTCAGCAAGAAACCAGTGAACCGCCTCCACTTTCCTTCGGTGCTAAAAATCAATTTTAAATTTCAGCAGAAAATCCCAACCCCTTACCACAGGTACAAAGCCCTATATGGTTTGTTCCCGCCTGTCTCTTCCGCCGCATCTGATGCCAGCCTGCACTCCGACGACTCCAGCCCTGCTGACCAGGGCCTGCTTCTGAACACCAGAAAAGTGACTCGTCTGAATTGAAATGTACTAGAAATATATACCCTGGATTTCGAAGCCTTCGTAGGAACAAAAGAATGCAATGTATATCATTAATAATTGTATAGTAACTACATGTTTAAATGATAATACTTAGCACCGGTTGCAACTCTGAATTTAACTTGTTCCTTTTAACGGGCATTTCTAAAATTTAAGACGACATTCGTGGGTCGCACTCGATTCCTACCAGACTGCGCGGCTCTATCACATTTTCGCCTCCTTTGTTTCCGTCTTGGCACTGACACTGAGGAACTCACTTACGGGATGCACGTTACCTGTTTCGTGTCTTTCTCACAGAAACAGAATGTGAGACAGGAACTCTGTCTCATTCACACCTGGCTCTCAGGCATTTAGAACAGAGCATGAAGCACAGTATATACCCAATAAATATTTCTGGAATTAATGGCCTTACTCTTCCTCAGCTGGAGACGGTGAGCTGTCTCTCCTCCCTCAGAACACGAGGTCTCCGGTCCTCTGGACTACACCCGCAGCTCAGCGCTGACCGTGTGCTCTCGACGCTGGGCGGAGGGGTGGTTGAGGGTCCACACTGGAAGAAAAACCTCCCCTCCCGCAGAAGGAACTGCTCGCTGGACTCCGCCGGCGCGCGGGGTGAGAAGCCGCGCCCCTCACAACTCTGCCGGTGCCGCCCCGCCCCTCTGCCCATCACTGGGCAATTCGCCCTGCGGCCACACGGCGGCGTCTCGCGAGGGCGCCGATGTCGATGGTGCAGTCCGCCCTCCCCGCACGCCTCTAGCAGTGGGTCCTTCCAGTCGTAGAAAAGCATTGTGGGAAAGCGGCGCATCCTTTCTGGCCTCGGTTCTCGGCGGGGATGTCCGTTTGCTGGAGCTTCGCGTGACTCGGGTTGTCCCGCAGCCAGGCCTCTGACGGCCGGGGCGCCGGGCAGGACCGTGCGGCTTCCCCGAGTCTTGGGAGGCTGCTGCCGAGACCGGACCGGGCAAGGTGCCCCCGGGACCTGAACGCGTAGAGGGCAGCGGCCTGCTTTGGCCTCCGCCACGTTGTTGAGACCTCAGGCGGCTCCAAGCGGCCCCGAGTCCGCTTTTCCATGCTAGGAGACGGGGCGATGGGATGGGGGTGGGGGCTTCTGCGTTTGTCGACTGTGTGTCAGGGAATTTCTAATGCGGGGATTTTGTGCGTGTGAAAGGGAAAGGCTTTACCGTGTACAGCACGTACGCCGACCATGTCATGGTGTGAAATCAGGTCCACGCGAGAGTGCCATTTCAGGTGTAGATCTTGATAATTATGTCATGGTGCAGAATTTGGCGGAAATGAGTATCACCATCCTTGCAGGTGAGTTTTCATGTTCTTACAGAAAGGATCAGTTGCCTCGAGATTTTAATGTTTTAGTCATCTAATAGAGTAACTAAGCGTTCCTTACCCAGTTAGATTCTGAGTCGTAGACGAAAATGTAGAACTGGGCTTAGTTGCCCTCAGAACAGTGAAGAAAGGTTAGCACCTCGGCGCCACGCAGCATTCCTTAACGCGGTTTTCTTACCGCCTTTGTGTTGCCCATTCACTTTTGGAAACTAGTGGATGTGGTGTCAAAAAAGGCGTAAACCAAACACTTACGCAGCTTTTTTTCCTGCCCTTGTATTTGATATCTTCGGTGTAGGAGCTGCGTAAGTAACATATATTATTTACACATGTGGTTTTGATTATGCCAAGTTAAGTGTACCTTTCTCTTAACCGGCTTTAATTTTTGTTCAGGTGAAAGATGGACGCTGGAAGCATAGACTGCTGCCAACCGAATACTTAACTATCTGGAAGTGCGAAGATGACCTAAGGTAGGGTGATAGTTTTGAATTATTGATAGCTGATCTTATGTGTAGTAGCTAAAATTTTAAAGACCACTTGACCAGATCTCGGGCATGTTTTATGTTGATGTGTGAATCCAGAAGTGCATGACTTAATGCAGGAAAGAAGTATGTACTGAGTTTATAAGTCTTGAAGTAAATGTTCACTTGTCAAATGGAGTGCCTTATTTTTTCTTTTAGGCTGTCCTTGGTGAGGAATTTGACAACTTGATCTTCAGGACCTGCTTAGAGTATTTAAAATTTCCAGGATTGCTTTTAAAAAATAGTGCTTTTGGACAGCCCATAAATGTACATAGAAAGCAGTGGGACTGTAAATAAAATAATGTGCTTCTTGGAGGTTTGTGTGTTATGATTTAACTGCTAGAACATAACATTCTTTCATTGAAAGATCAAAAGGGGGCAGATCACGTAAGGCTCTGTTTAAAGCATGGGAAAGCCATGATGGAAATGTACATCTGCAAGAAAAGCAGTGCTGTGGGCCAACTGGAGGCTACTGCTGTATGCCATATTCTGTCTATACCAGAGATGACCACCTTGGACAAGGGCAGTGGTAAAGTTAGGGAAGAGAGATAGTTGAAACTACAGCAGACAGGAGTTAGTAATGAAGGATGTGTCTGTAATGACTGCTAGCTGTGTAGTCTTGTACATTCACAGATGAGCTGGGGGAGTAGCTTTTTGAGCTAGTCTATTTGAATCGCGTTAGAAATCTAAGCGACTCCTTGATACTACACTGGTCTGTAGTCTGAAAGAAAATGAAAGTCGCTCACTCTTGTCCAACTCTGTGACCCTGTGGCCTGTACTGTTCATGAAATTCTCTAGATCAGAATATTGGAGTGAGTAGCCTTTCCTTTCTCCAGCAGATCTTCCCAACCCAGGAATCAAACTCGGGTCTCCCGCATTGTAGGCAGATGCTTTTACTGTCTGAGCCACCAGAGAAGTCTAGTCTAAGCCATAAGAATAAAATTTGGCCACAGGAATAAGTGTGATCCATGAGGGTCTAGATTTAAGAGACTCAACTGCTGATGTGGTAGAGTAGGGGAAGCTGGAAAGGACAGAATGGCAGGAGCAATGGGAAATGCACTGAAGTAAAAATAATGCAGCACAGCCTGAAAGTTAACCTTGGGGTTTGGTGACATGAAGGTAATGTCTGAGGTCTGCTTTAGTGGAACAGTGGGGAAGAATCTGTATTTGAGATGGCACATTAGGAGATGAGTTGAGCACACTGGCTACCCATAATCCTTTCAAGAATCATGAAATGGGAGAGAACAAAGTGGGAGCTGGAAAAGGGTCTGGTTGTGAGATCTGGCTGTCTTTAGATGGCAGTCTAGCTGACAGGAGGAGGTTGAATCTTGAATACATGAGGCAGAAGGGATGAGAAGGCTGGAGGAGCTGGGCTCCAGACCATAGGTAGAGTGACGGGAGAAGGTTGATGGCAGCCATGACGAGGCTTGTCCTTTGTGTCAGGGGGAGATGGAAAGTCCTGTAGGAGTATGTCTTCCCTGTAGACTGCTTTCATCTGCCAAGAGGAAAGGTCTGAAATAGTGTTTTGGAAGAGTTAGCCAGGCAGACCTTTCAGGTTGAAGGTCATGAATTTATAAGCTGAGGTGAAGTAAAATCCGCACATAACGACAGCACAAGACAAGGACACTAGAAGTTAGAAGCAGCACTTTTTTTTAACATTTGCAAATTACCAGTGAAACTTAATGCCACAAAATACAGTATTACAAAGAACATTAACGTGAATAAAAATATCTGCAGTGTGAAAGTGATCCCTCAGTCATGCATTTGTGCACAGGCAGAGATCTACCCAGAGTAGGGAAGAATCTTTCATCCCCCTTAGTGTACTGCTGCATAGCTACCTGGCCACAGTCCACGATTCCAGAACTTTGATCTGAAGCCTCTGGTCTTGGTTGTGGCAGACAAGATACTTGGGAGTTTCCAGGAAGGAAAACATGGCATCAAATGAAAAAGGCTTTGTAAGACTACCATCTTTCCAGTTACCAAGTAAAAAGGCCCTTAGGCACAAACATGCTGTAAATTCAACCTTTAAAAGATGCAATGGACTCCATTATTTTCTTCTGAAGAAACACTTCTGCAGGTCCAAGATATTTCAATAACTATAATTCACAGTTTAAAAGTAAAGGTGGCACACATACCCTTCCCACCCCCATCCCAAGCCTTTCACTGGGATTAAGTCTCCATCTTGAAGCGTGAAGCTTGGATAGTTTTTATTGTTTTTGCTGCGTGTTTTCCAGCCATATTGCTTGTAGATGTCTGAGATTTTTCTTCAATCAGGCTATCTTTAGACCCGTTTCTTCTCTGGAAAACAATATTTGAAAAAAGTAAGATTCAGAGAAGAAACGAGAGCCAAGTAAATTTTATTAACACATTAGAAATAACTAAGACATCAAGTTATATTTAGGAAGAGTGTGATACCAGGCTGTACAAGTATTCCCTTTATTTAAATAATTATGATAAACAATACGTGTTTAAATCTTAAAAAGTTATATGTGCATAACAAATTTTGTTTATGGAAATTAGGCATAAATCTCAATCCATTCCCCCAATTAAGTGTCATTTCCACTGAGAGGCTCTCAGGCCTCTTTTCCAAGGAGGGGCAGAGAGATGAAGAGAGAGGGGAGTTCGGGATAATTTTAATCTTCCCTGATTATATTTTCAGTAGTACTGAAGAAACCCCTCCCAACACAATGCCCTGGGTGTCCTCATCACTGAGGGCTTCCTGGTGGCTGGGGTGGGGTCCCTCAAAGGGGGGCCCTCACGGAGAGGTGGGAGTGAGGACCTGGATCCTGAGTGCCACACCCAGGGCTGCAGCTCAAGGCTTGCGTGCACCTCCCACAGCCCTAGGAGGCCCTAGGAAACAGGAGAGGTGCAGCCACAGCGCCCCCTGCCTAACAAGCCTTTCTGCAAGTGCCTTCTCTGCAGATGGCCTAACCTGTCAGTAGATCCGGGCTAAAGAAGCATATTTACTTCCCCAAAAGTATCTCCCCACACATAATGAGCTACACTCCAGAATTCTATTATTTTGGGATTCCTTGGACTGAAGCCACCCTCTAAGAAGTTGTCTTTTATCTGTTGTGGGACTGGCTTAATTTTACTCAAAGAAGCACTGATTGAACAATTTTGCAAATGTTCCATCAAATCAAGCTAATTTTGGAGTCAAACATCTGTTTGGGATAGAAGATTTTTAGATAACCAGAGAGGTAGGAGGAGGACACCAGAGCATGAGACTCAGGGCAGGGGAATATGGAGTTAAGAAATCAGAAGAATCACTACTGTTTTTGTTAAGTGTTGAACCTATCTATTCTGTCTGTAAACCTTAAGGGAAATGAATCAAAGTCCTAAATCCATCCCACTTTAACCAGCCTTCTGCATAAAAAAGTGAGATGAGGTGTAGGCAGGCCAGGCCACTGGCAGAACACTGGCATCATTGTGGAACTTAGGAAATGCAACTTTCCCACTTCCCCATGTCACTTGCATCCTTTTTCCACATGGCAATCAGATCAGCAATTTCCTTATGGCACCAAGGATAATACAGAACAAAATCCAAACAAACTCTTTTCCCATGGCGTCCAAGATCTGCATCATCTGCCCTCTGCCTTCACTGTGCTCAGACCTCAGACACCCAGGCCCTTCCCAGCCTCAGCACTTTTTTATCATGCTCTTCCTTCTGCTTCCATCAGCCTTCCACGAGTACTCACGTGGTTGGTTCCTCCTCACCTGCAGGTTTCCACTTTCCAGGTTACTTTCTGAGATGGCCTTTGCCGTATCTATCTAAAGTGAAGTCACCTGTCTAACTCAGACCTTTGTTTCTTCATAGTGCTTACCAAGTTTTTGGTTTTGTTTCACCTGTTCACTGTTATGTGTCAAGGCCAAGAGTCACCATCTTCTATCAAGGGCCAGGTCATAGACTGCCACTTGTCTCTCTTGCATACTGTTTTTCCTTCCCTGCAAGCAACCCTTTAAAACCAAAAGTAATTAGCTCCTGGACCATACAGAAGCAGGCTGCAAACTTAATTTATCCTATGGGCTGTAGTTTGCTGACTGCTCCAGTGAGTGCCTTGTCATTCCTTAGATGTGCTCACTAGATAGTTGTTGAATTCAGAATCAAAGGTGTCCCAGAGACAAGCTTAGATTCAGTGCCATTGATCAGAAGATGCATGGGAGTTGTTCCCGTGTGCAGCAAAGTGACAGCTATTCTTTCAACATTTCATGTAAGTTTTTTGAGATTCCTAAGTGGTGATTGGGGGCTTCCCTGATAGCTCAGCTGGTAAAGAATCTGCCTGTAATGCAGGAGACCCTGGTTCAATTCCTGGGTCAGGAAGATCTGCTGGAGAAGAGATAGGTTATCCATTCTAGTATTCTTGGGCTTCCCTTGTGGCTCAGCTTGTAAAGAATCTGCCTGCAATGTGGGAGACCTGGGTTTGATCCCTGAGAAGATCCCCTGGAGAAGGGAAACGTTACCCACTCCTGTATTCTGGCCTGGAGAATTCCATGGACTGTATAGGCCATGGGGTCGCAAAGAATCAGACATGACTGAGTGACTTAGTCTAGTTGGAAAAGCAGAAACACAATGAAATTCTCATTTGTATTGAAGCCAACTTAAATTTAAGACCAAGAAAAAAAAAAACTCTGAAAAATAACAGTGCTTATTAATCCTCCTAGCAACCTCAAGAGGTAGTTATTATCCACATTCCAAAGAATTTTGTCTTAGAAGTTAAACAACGTTCAAAGCCACACAAGTGGTGTGTGGAGAGAGAGAGACACCAGTGCAGGTCCTGTCTGAAGGTGAAGTCTAAACTACTAGTCATGAATGTAATTTTTTTAAATTGCTATCGACTTGAATTGTTTGGACAACCTATTAGCGCCCAGATTAATCAAAAATTAGGCAGATTTTAGTGGAAGCTGTGGTTAGCCACGCAGATCTCTATTCCAGACTGAGGCAGTCATTCCCCAGCAGCTTGGAGAGACAGCTGCCATACAGCTCAAAACTGAGCCCCACCCTGGACTGAAGGTGGTCAGGCCATAGTCAGGCCCCCCTCCCAGGGCACCCTTTATCCAGTCACTTGCTACATGGTGAGTGTTGAAGGTCCAGCCCCCTCATCTCCAGGTGGGAGGAATCAGAAGGGCCATCTTGGCTCCAAAGCTCCCCATGGGACCATCTGATGCCTTTACTGGGACTCTACCACTCAATTCAACTCTTGCCTATCTTTTATGCCCCAACAACTTTGATCCTAAAAGCACTTTTCCATAAACTTCCCCCATGCAAACCTCCATCACAGAATCTCTTCCTAGGGAACCTAACCTAAACTGGCATAGGCTTTTTCTGTCATTGCTCAGTTCAGTTCAGTTCAATTCAATCACTCAGTCATCTCCAACTCTTTGCAATGCCATGAACCGCAGCACACCAGGCTTCCCTGCCCATCACCAACTCCTAGAGTTTACCCAAACTCATGTCCATCGAGTCAGTGATGCCATCCAACCATCTCATCCTCTGTCGTCCCCTTCGCCTCCCGTCTTCAATCTTTCCCACTCCAACACCACGGTTCAAAAGCATCAATTCTTCAGTGCTCAACTTCCTCTATAGTCCAACTCTCACATCCATATATGACTACTGGAAAAACCATAGCTTTGACTAGATGGACCTTTACTGGCAAAGTTATGTCTGCTTTTTAATAATGCTATCTATGTTAGTCATAGCTTTTCTTCTAAGGAGCAAGTGTCTTTTAATTTCATGACTGCAATCACCATCTGCAGTGATTTTGGACCCCAAAAAAATAAAGTCTGTCACTGTTTCCATTGTTTCCCCATCTATTTGCCATGAAGTGATGAGACAAAATGCCATGATCTTGGTTTTCTGAATGTTGAGTTTTAAGCCAGCTTTTTCACTCTCCTCTTTCACTTTCATCAAGAGACTCTTTAGTTCTTCTTTGCTTTCTGCCATAAGGGTGATGTCATCTACATATCTGAGGTTATTGATATTTCTCCCGGCAATCTGGATTCCAGCTTGTGCTTCATCCAGCCCAGCATTTCTCATGATGTTTAACTTTCGCATACAAGTTAAATAAGCAGGCTGACAATATACAGCCTTGATGTACTCCTTTCCCGATTTGGAACCAGTCTTGTTCCATGTCCAGTTCTAACTGTTGCTTCTTGACCTGTATACAAATTTCTCAGGAGGCAGGTCAGGTGGTCTGGTATTCCCATCTCTTTAAGAGTTTTCCACAGTATGTTGTGATCCACACAGTCAAAGGCTTTGGCATAGCAAATAAAGCAGAAGTAGATGTTTTTCTGAAACTCTCTTTTTTGATGATCCAACGGACGTTGGCAATTTATCTCTGATTCCTCTGCCTTTTCTAAATCCAGCTTGAATATCTGGCATTTCACGGTTCATATACTGCTGAAGCCTGGTCTGGAGAATTTTGAGCATTACTTTGCTTGTGTGTGAGATGAGTGCAACTGTGCAATAGTTAGAACATTCTTTGGCATTGCCTTTCTTTGGAGGTGGAATGAAAACTGACCTTTTCCAGTCCTGTGGCTACTGATGAGTTTTCCAAATTTGCCGGCATATTGAGTGCAGCACTTTAACAGCTTCGTCAGCATCAAAAGAAAATTGGTCCTTGCTCAAGTCATTAACCGGAGAAGGCAATGGCACCCCACTCCAGTACTCTTGCCTGGAAAATCCCATGGACAGAGAAGCCTGGTAGGCTGCAGTCCATGGGATCGCCAAGAGTCGGACATGACTGAGAGACTTCACTTTCACTTTTCACTTTGATGCACTGGAGAAGGAAATGGCAACCCACTCCAGTGTTCTTGCCTGGAGAATCCCAGGGACGGGGGAGCCTTGGTGGGCTGCCGTCTATGGGGTCGCACAGAGCAGCATCAGCAAGTCATTAACAAAAATGAATCAAGTTAAGCACAGTGAGTGATAGATATGCTGAAGTCAGGGTTCTTAGGTTGTCCATGAACTTCCTGAATCGTATGCTTATGTGCTTGAAATGAATGCTTACACACATTTTTATGGGAAAAAGACAGTAGTTATAATTGCCTTTCAGAGGGATCCATGCCCCAAACAGTCCACTGCAAACATCAAGCTGATACTGGTCCATTATAAACATCGTCTGTTTATAAACCTCGAACTTCCCAGGTGTGCCTTGTCTTGACCACACACCCCTCCTTCTTCTCCTTCCACGTTTTATACATGCTATTTTTTAAAACATGGAACCTCGTCATCAATACCATACCCTCTTAAAACCGATTATTTCCTACCTGATGAACTGTGGAACCACCAGAACCCTGAGCATCTGAAGAACGGGTCACAGGAAGTGGAGGTACAAGATCGGTTTTTGAACTGCAGAGAGTGAGTTTTAGAATTAATGACTGAGATAGTACCTAAAAGCACAATTTGAGTCGGAAAAAGGCTATAGCAAAGTAAACAGGTTTTAGATATCTTGCATTCCTTATAGTTACTACCACAGTGCTTTACACAGGCATTTAATAAATGTTTTTGAATTAAGTTCAACGGGTTAAGTAATTTACCTCAAATCACAGCAAATAAATAGAAGAACCAAGAATAAATTATAAGTATGTGCTTTTCTTACTGTGATATGTGTATAAATGGCTTTTTGATTTGTTCCTAGAGAAATACTTACTGGCCATGTATTCTTTTTTATTAAAAAAAAAAAAAAACCAGCTGTGGAGCTATGGACAACAATGTTCTACATTTTACAAGCAAACAAAAAATTAAAAAAAAAAAACCTGACCTATATCTCTCTGATGGGCTAGTCTATCTCCCAATTTATTAATGTTTATTTTAGTTTTAAGCCTTAATTCTGAGTTTAATGGTTAACATTCCCACCTAGCAATATCAAGTGCACAAATTTCCATGGGGCTCCCTGGTATCTCAGACGCTAAAGAAGCTGCCTGCAATGCAGGAGACCCAGATTCGATCCCTGGGTTGGGAAGATCTCCTGGAGGAGGAAATGGCAACCCACTCCATTATTCTTGCCTGGACAATTCCATGGACAGAGGAGCCTGATAGGCTACCAACTATGATGTCATACAGAGTCAGACATGACTGAGTGACTAACACACAGACAGTACTTTCATAAATGGATGCATAATTATTTTGTTAACACATTCATTTAAAATATAGCATTTATCATATTAAGCTGAAATATGGCTACTTTTCTCAAAAGAAAAACTAAACAACACAAACAAACTACTGTAACACATAATATTTGCTATAGTAAAAGAAAAGGTGAAATGCCATCAATGCAAAAAGAAACTGTTATGCCAATTTCCTCTAATATGGATGCATTTATTATTCAAAATAGAATAGCTCATGCGTCTTTTCTGTCTTCTAAAAGCCTCAGTGCACAGCTTGGAAGGGCAATGCATGCGTGCTGAGTCACTTCAGTCGTGTCCGACTTATGCGACCCCATGGACTGCAGCCCGTCAGGCTCCTCTGTCCATGGGGTTCTCCAGGCCCATGCCCTCCTCCAGGGAATCTTCCTGAACCACGGATCAAACCTGTGTTTCTTATATCCCCTGCACTGGCAGGCAGGTTTTTTTTACCACTAGGGCCAGCTGGGAAGCCCTTGGAAAGGCCATAATTCAGTATAATTATAGTCTAGGTCTGTGCTATCCAATATGGTTGCCACCAGCCACACACTGCTGCTTATGTTCAAATTAATTACAATTAAAAATATTAGGTTTTTAGTTTCTAGGTTACACTAGCCACACTCCAATACTCCATGTCCATAGATACAGAACATTTCTATCACTGCAGACAGTTCTCTTGTACTCTGCCACTCTGGAGCCATGAAGGTGACGACGTACTCACACCTGCCCACTTACTTCACTTCTGAGAGGACAGACCGCTCTCCATCCGAGCACTGGGACCTGCGATACTGGCGGTAACTTCTCGGTGAATGAGAGTGCCGGATGCGGACTGGGTCACCTTGCGTCCTGAGCAAGCAAAGAGAAACCATGGAGACAAACACACCGGAAGTCAGAATGGGACCGACTTGGGGCTTTCCTGGATATTGTAACTGTGAAGGAGTAATAACTGAGAGTTTTAAAAACCTGATCTCTCTGAGCTTGGAAAGCCTAAATGGCTTTCATTTTATAAGTTAACAAAAGGAAACTACCTCCATCATAAAATGAAAATAAAACTTTATCATACAGTTGACCCTTGTATAATGCTTGGTTAGGGATACCAGCCCTAAGTGAAGTTGAAAATCCCCATGCCCCCTTACAGTCTGAATCCATGGATTCAGCCAATGAAGATCGTACAGTACTGCTGTACTTATTTAGTGGGAAACACCCAGTACAAGTGGGCCACCAGCAAATAGGCAGCTATAGGAAAGAGAGTGACCTCAGGATAGAGTGACAATAATTAATGTAATACACCGTTTTCTACTCCTTCCTCTACAGTTATTTTTAATTTCAGTTAAAATGTAAAGACAAAGCACCACAAGGAACACCTCTGAAGAGTAAGAATAGATTACAGTTACAAATATTAACAAAACTTTTTAAGATTGATTTTCAAAGACATACTCTATTTTAGTGTATGGAATCTCTTTTAATTGTTCTTCTGACAGTCCAGATGGATCCACAAGCTCTTTTCTAGAAGGGAATGAGCAAGAGAATGAAAGTTTTGACATAAACACTAACACCATTTACAATCGGCAGGTGAGTTTTCACCTTTCTAATCTTGTCTCAGCTTTAACAAAAAGAAAAGCTTTCTTTTCTAAGGAAAGCTGAGCACCAAAGAATTGATGCTTTTGAACTGTGGTGTTGGAGAAGACCCTTGAGAGTCCCTTGGACTGCAAGGAGATCCAACCAGTCCATCCTAAAGGAAATCAGTCCTGGATGTTCATTGGAAGGACTGATGCTGAAGCTGAAACTCCAATATTTTGGCCACCTGATGGGAAGAACTGACTCACTGGAAAAGACCCTGATGCTGGCAAAGACTGAAAGCAGGAGGAGAAGGGGACGACAGAGGATGAGATGGGTGGATGGCATCACCGACTCGATGGACATGAGTTTAAGAAAGTTCCGGGAGTTGGTGATGGACAGGGAAGCCTGGCATGCTGCAGTCCATGGGGTCGCAAACAGTCTGACAGGACTGAGCGACTGAACTGAACTGAATCTTGTCTTATAACACAGTGTTAATAAAACTAATAGAGATATAAGCCAGGAATGAAGATTAAGAAAACTAGGGTCCATTCAGGACTTCCTTGACAGTCTAGTGGTTGGGAGTCTGCCTTCTAATGAAGGGGCTATGGGTTCAATCCCTGGTTAGGGAACTAAGATTCCACATGCTGTGGCCAAAAACTAAAATATAGAAATAAATAAAACTTAAAAAAACAAACTGGTATGTGTTTAAGGAAAAAATGGGAGGAAAACCTTTTCGGTAGCTCTTCTACCCTCTTGCAGTTTTTTCTTTATTCAGGATGTAGATGACTCTCCAGCATCTCCTATCTCCCTAGAAAGATCTGCTTCTCTCTCCCGTAGCAGGCGTCCTTTCCTTGGTATTTATTTACACAGTGTGGGCCCATCTGAGGCTCATTCACAGGCAGGGCTGACTGGCCTCAGGAGAGATGGCGGGGCTGCCTGCTGAGGCGCCACCACGGACTGCCAGGCCCCACACAGTGACGGCCGTGAAGACCACCTCGCAGGCTTCACCCGGGGCTGCCTCTCTGTGTCCTTACAAGTGCCTTCAAACCATGTGGGTTTAAAAACAGTACTCACTGGATATGCTTCCATAACTCTTCTTTTGCTTGGATATCGGGACTTCTCCTATAAATAGAAAGAACAACACTCATCTCGGCACACATGCTTCGTCCAATGATCTAATCTCTAACTTCAGCAAAGCCGCAATATTACTGGTTTCCAGACTGTGAAGTTCTTCTCTGCCAGCTGATACCAGACAAGGAAAGGCTGAACAAGGAGAGCTAATGTGGGATGGTTAGTACAAAAATACCAGACAATTTATCTGCTAGTCGACTAAAAAAAAGAAAAGCCATGAAAATCAGCCACAACCAGGGCTCCATTTAATGAAGAGCTTAGCAGTGGTGGGGCAAATCTACACACTCTCCAGTGGTGGTTTTACAATGAAGACTGATTTGAGGCTTCTGTTTCTGGTCCTTCTAACTACTCAGTTATATCAAAAGAATTCACCTTGATTGTATTAATATGGAAAAGTCCCAATGAGATCTGTGATTACATAGTAGAAGCAACACCACAAGGGAAAAGAAAACGGTGGGACAGCCGGGCTGGCAGACTGTGTGCCACTGCCTCGCTGACCTTTCTCACTGCATCTGACATTGCACTTCTGGGCTGAGATGTGGGCTCACAGGTATTGGGACACGTCTGTGGCCCATGCTGCCATCTTCCCATATGCCCTTCTCCACCCCATCTGTAGACTGTACAAATTTCTTCTCTAAGAACTACTTGAATAGAAATTGTACCACCATGTTTTAACTTTCTAGAATGATAAATTCAAAGCCAGCATTCCGGTGTTCAGGGTCCCCATAAGAGCAGTGAGAACTAGAAATCTATGACCACAGCAACTGTTGCCACAGAATGATTTTTTTTTTTGCCCCAGTGAGAAAATGATAAGCTTTTATCAGTCCTTTCAAGAGAACCAAGTTTTAACAAAGGCCCAAAGAAAAGACCTAAACCCTAACAATTAAAATGCCTGCAGCTAAACAAAGCCACCGATATGCTCTCCTGTGGAATTTTAAATTTATAATCTATACCAGCATTTCTGGGCTCAATATCACTTTCAGCATATGATATTATCATTGCTTTCATTTTTCCCAGTTAATAAGGGCACCTCTGAGACTTTCTGTTAGGTCTTTCTGAGCCCACAGAATACAATAAACTACTTTCTTGCAACTGAACTAAGTAGTTTTTTCCTTTGTAGAGAAAGAAAAACAAAATCTGTAGACCTTTTAATCCACTCAAAAGGAGTCAAAATACAGAAGACAGAAGATAAGAGAGAGGGAACAAAGCCTTGGTCTCAGACATATAAAATATGGTATTGTTAAAGGTAGAGTTTGTTATCAAAAATAAAATTGTATGCTTAATAAACTTAAAATGCTTCTTCAGAAGAATTTCCTATATGGGATCTGCCTTTCCTACATGTCGCTGATCTGGTTCACTAGACAATACATTAGCCCAGTCAACTACACTGCCACAGAGAAGGTACTAATATTGAAAAGCACTAAACTATTATTCTGTTTATATACAGAAAGATGAAAGACGGTTACATTGTAATTATATACCAGCATCTGATTCTCACAGGAAGTCACCCAATAATCTTCAGTATTACATAGTACCTAGGTTAGGAAGCGATTCTGCTGGGAATCACGCTTGTTTCAGGACGGTGCAGTGCTGAGACTGTCTTCAGAGCAGGGTATGTTGACCTCCACACTGCTGACCCTGGGGTCAGATGTCATCCGTGGTTGTTGGGGGCTGTCTTGAGCACTGTAGGATGATTAGTAGTACCTACAGCCTTGACACCTAGATGCCAGTAACACCCTCCAGTGAGGCAGCCAAAAATGTCCCCAGACTTCGCCCAATGTCCTCTGGGAGGAAAGACTATCCCAGGGTAAAAAACCACTGGTCAAAGGTATGATACGGTAGTACAACAGCCAACGTCTGGTGAAGGAAGGAAGAGGCCAAATGATCATAAAAGTTCCATCATGTGGATACTGAATAATGCTGGAGAGAATGACACTGAAACAGGAATTAATTAAATCTTAAAAGAATGAAGGAAATGTTATAATTTGATGGTAGGAGGGGAGGAGAATGACAAAATGAGGGGCAAGGAGGACACGTTCCCCAAGACTGCCAACCCCAGGCCTAGTGGTGGAAAATGGTGAATGTGAGCAAAATACAAAAAGCAGATAACAACAGATATTTCTGATTGTTGGAATTGCACCTAATTTTATTTTCTTATTTACATTTTCCTATGTTGTCTGATTTTTTTTTCTTTTAGCCAAGAGAATTTCTTGCCTTAATTATCAGAAAAGAAAAAAAAAATAAGGGTATTTTTATGTTTTATACTTATGGGTGATTCACACTGTTATACAGCAGAAACCAGCACAAAGACTGTAAAGCAACTATCCTCCAATTAAAAATTTTGAAAAATTACTACTGGGGGGAGGAATAAATTAAGAGCTTGAGATTAACATATAAATACTGCTACATAAAAAATAAACAACAAGGACCTACTGCACAGCACAGCATTATTCAGTATCCACATGATGGAACTTTATGATCATTTGGCCTCTTCCTTCCTTCACCAGTATTCTTGCCTGGAAAATCATATGGCTAGAGAAGCCTAGTGGGCTATAGTCTGTCCATAGGGTCATAAAGAGTCAGACACAACGGAGCTACTGAGCACTCATCCTAAAAGAACATTAGTCCTTCCAGACATAAACATTGGTCCTAAAAGATTCAGAATTTAGGTCTACATGTTTGAATGCTATGGCATGTAACAGTCACGTATTTAACCAAACTGAGTTCTGAAGTGCCAGCACTTTCAAAAAGTGTTAAGGCAGGGGAAAATCCCAAAGCTAAGAGAAAAAAAATGCTAATATCCTCCAACTGCTAGATGACCTGTGACTTAATAAATGTAAACACAGGTTACATGCTAGTGAGAACTGAATCATTTTTATGCTGATATTTGCATGAATTTCATCAATAATTTCATCATGCATGCATTTCATCAATGATCTCATGATGTGCAGCTCAACATCGTTTTGTGGATTCTGAAAGCTGTGGAATTTTAACAGCTATTTTTCTTAAAGGCCCTTAGTTATGCAGGTGTTTTACTTGAACTCGCCAAATTTCTAAGAAAACAGAACCATGAGTTTCCATAGGTACAATGTATATTACAATGTATATAAAACACACACATGCCATCTAATATTAGCCCAGTATTTTTCAAAAACATCCCTTATACACACCTTATACCAATAACTCAAATTAATATTTACCTTTCAGAGAGATTTCTTTGATAAGACATCATAGAAATAATTTTTTTTTCCATATAGTCTTCTTCTACATCCCCCAAACACTCTAATTATATTATCCAGAAAACAGTGTAACATAGAATATGTGCTATATATTATAGTAGAGTGTTAGTCACTTGGTTGTGTCCGACTCTCTGTGACCCCATTATAACTGACCAGGCCCCTCTGTCCATGGAATTCTCCAGGCAAGAATATTGGAGTGAGTTGCCATGCCCTTCTCCTGGGGAGCGAGACATTGAACCCGGCTCTCCCACATTGTACGTAAATTCTTCACCATCTGAGCCACCAAGGAAGCCCATATTATAGTAGATAATATACTATAGTTTGTATAGTATGCAAATAATACAAATTTTGTATAGTATACAAATATAGTATACTGAAAATAATACATATGACAGCATTTGACTTATTTTTGTGATCACTGCCATAGTAGGAAATTTAGAGCTGAAAATGTGTTACTAAAAAAAATCAATTTTATAAAACATCTTTATTTAAAACATTCAGAGCACTTAACTCAGTAATTGTTCATCAAATTCCTGAGTGGTCAGAATAGACATGATTGTGCAATGTCTTAAATCTTCTCCTTCCCTCTGCTCCTCTTGGAATTAAAAAAGATTAGAAAGGCATAGAGCCCAGAAACCTAGTTGCTGAAGATCGCTCAGGAGTCACTTTCAGGGACCTGATGCTAAATCTTCATCAGGCATCAGATTTCTGTTTTGTGTTTAACTGGAAACATCATTCCACCCTGACAACCTCATCTTTCACGTTATTTTTCAATAGAAGCAGTAAGACATTATTGCCACCAGAGGGAGCCTGAGCCTTTGTGCACACTCAAGTTGAACCCGTGAGATATTATTGTTTCAACTTCCATGCCTTTTCCAAATAGCCCAGTAAATTAAAAATTTCACCCATGTAGAAAAGAAGTTTCATAAGTTTCCCAATGATATGTAAACATCGATGTCATGGCAATGAAGCTGAAAAATAAACTGACAGGACCATTCCCACATTCAAGTAAATGATATCCATATTTGAAACACATATTTCAGTTTATGTGTTTTAGGAGAAAGGATTTTGTATTTTATACAACTGTGTATCTCTGGTATTTAATAATGAACACAAGTTTCTAGTTTTTCATTGGAGATTTAAAAAAAAACAATGAGTGAATCATGTGTGAACGATGTATCATAACATTCTAAATCCTCAGTGGATACCTCTACATGGGCAATTGACACACAGGACAACAGGATTCAAAAATAGGGGAGTAACTGACAGGTATGTGATGTACTAAATATCTTAAATGCTACATATACTTACAAATATTGATACATCTAAAGAATAATTTTAATTACTTTCTTCAGATGCTGCTCTATGTTTTCACTTAAAAGAAAAGCTGTAGTGGTTCCTAGAGATTCCTAAATTCTCGAATTCTAGTTTTAATATGAGTGTCCTCAACCTGCTCTTTTTTCTCAGTTCTTCCCCATTTCAAAGGGAAAAAAATCAAGTAACTTGTTTATACGGATACACTGAGACCTGGAGAACTTTTAATTGCAATTGTGAGTATTTATGCTGTCACTTGACATATGTGATGTGACTTAATGTTCAGCAAAATCTCTTCAGGATGGTATCATCTGTTGTATACATGACACTAACAAGTTCATGGAGATGAGGTAATAACCTAACATTCAGAGGCCCAGAATGTTAAGATCATAGGTTAAGAACATATGTTAAGAACATAGGTCTGTTCTTAACAACAACACCAATCAGATACTGTCTTAATTGTCAACAAACCTTAGGTTTTTAATGTCATGACTCAAATAGAAGGCAGAGCCCAGTATGTCCTAAATAAAGTAATGAATAATCTTGTTGAATTTTAACACTTCTATCTAGTAGCCTACCTGACATTACCATTTGATCGCCAACTTGGTTTTTCAAACGTAATGAAACAGAAAACTTAACACTTCCCACACCAGACCATCTCACTCCATCTCATGGATGAAGTATGTAAAAAGGCATGGCTACTCACTTAATCTGTCAGTGCCAAAGTTCATACACACTATTTCTCACACTATGAACCCGTCAGCTCCCCTTCCAAAATGTGTATTCATCCACTTCACTTCTACCACCACAATCTTTTCTGAGTTAAAACCACCTCACACCTGGACCACTGAAAAATTTTTTTAATTGCTCTTCCTGCTTCCTTTCCTTTCACAATCTGCTTTTAACTCAGCAGCCAGAGCAACCTCTGAAAGAATTACTCTTCAAATAGATATTTTTTGTTAACTGTACTTTGGCTATATCAGCTATATAGTCAAATAATCAAGTTCAATTAGAAAGTCATACCACCAACATTTGTGAAGTCTCTTTATGGTTTGTTTTAAAAACTAAATTCCAGAAAGGTACATATCATACTATTAACGGGATTCTCTCATACAATTGCATTGTTCTGAGATAACCCTCTCTCTGGTCTGGTATTTTTATCATGTGAGATTTAAAAGAAAGTTTAAACCCCAAATATTAATAATTATATGACCCATAAGTATCCTAAACACTCAATTTAAGTTATAGATGGTCAGATTAGATTTAAAAAAAATTTTTAAGACAAATTACTGCAATCTACAAGAGATCAAGAGATGGGCTTTAATCATAAAGATACACTCAGGCCTAAAATAAAAGTCACTTCAGTCATGTCCAACTCTTTGTGACCCTATGGATTATAGCCCACCAGGCTTCTCTGTCTATAGGATTCCCCAGGCAAGAATACTGGAGCAGGTTGCTATTTCCTCCTCCAGGGGATCTTCCCGACCCAGGGATTGAGCCTGTATCTCTTATGTCTCCTGCATTGGCAGGTGGGTTCTTTACCACTAGCGCCACCTGGAAAGCAGTACCTCAGCTGCTAAAGACTCTGCCTGCAATGTGGGATACCTGGGTTCAATCCCTGGGTCAGGAGGATCCCCTGGAGTAGAGAATGGTTACTGACTCCGGTATTCTTACTTGGAGAGTTCCATGGACAGAGGTTACAGTCCATAGGGTCACAAAGAGTGACTTTCAATTTCATATACCATGTAAAAAGTGAGGATGAGAAAAGTATAATGGCTATATAAGTACATACATACATATACACACAAAAGTTTGTGGGTAAAATGGACATAGAGAAAGGAATATTACCAGAATAAAGGACATGTCATAATGATAAAAAGGCCAATTTATTAGGTAGACCAAAAATAAACTTTTTCTCCCCCCACAAATATGTGTGTACCTAATGCCAGAACTTCAAAATAACCTGAAACAAGAACTGACAGAACTAAAGGGTAAAACAGAAAAATCCACAATTATTGGAAATTTTAACATCTCTCTCAATGACTGATTGAAAAGTAGACAAAGAAATCAGTAAAGTCACAGAGCATCCAAACAATACTCTCAGTTAGCTAGATTTACCTGACATTTGTAGACTACACCCAACAACTGAGAATGACTCTTTTCAAGTCCATCAGATCATTCATCATTAAAGACTATATGTTAACTCTTAAGATAGATCTCAATAAATTTGAAATGACTAAAATCTTACAGATTTTAACCAAAATACAATTAAATTAGAAATTAATAGTAATTTGATATGTAGAAAATCTCCAAATACTTGGAAATTAAATAACACACTACACTAAAAACAAACAAGGTCAAAGAAATCACGGATTTCAGTGTCACCTTAAGAAGATGAAAAAAAAGAGCAAATAAAAGACAAAATATATAAAAGAAAGTAATAAAGAGTAGAAATCAATGAAAAGGTTAACAGACAAAGAAAATCAACAAAACCCAGAATTAGTTCTTTGAAAAACTAGAAAACAAAATTAAGCAGAAAATTAAAAGAAGAAACAATTTATCCACATCAGGAATGAAAGAGGTAATATCACAACAGATGTTCAAAGGACACTAAAAGAATTATTATAAACAAATTTTGTATTAAAAGACAACTTAGATAAAAGGAACAAATTCTTTTAAAAACACATACTACCAAAACCTACACATAACAAGCGGACACAATCTTAACAGCCCAGTATCTGTTAAAGAATTTCAGTTTGTAATTTAAGACTTGGCACAAAAGAAAATTCATGGAAGGATTGGTTTCCTGGGTAAATTATGTCAAATATTCATGGAAAGAATACTGTTAATTTTATACTCTCAGATAATAGAGAAAACAAGGAAAAGTTCCTAAACTATTTTAAATGACCAGCATACCCCTATTTTAAAAAAAAAACTGACACAAATATTACAAGAAAATTATAAATCAGAATCTCTCATGAACATGTAGAAAAAAATCTAAACAAAATAATTTTAAAAGAAACCAGCAATATATGGAAAGAACAATAGGTTTATTGGGCATTTATCCCAGGAATGCAAGGATGTATCACTCAAAGCTCAGTCAGTGTAATTCCTTCACTGAGAAAATAAAGAAAACAGAAAACCCACACCCGAGACACTATCTCTCCTCCCACATGTAGGCAACACGAGACATCTAACTACCCAGGATCATAAAGGGATACAGGTAGTTAGTCCCAGCTCACTTTTCATTTTAAAAATGTATGCTCTGGGGCTTCCCTGGGATGGCTCAGCTGTAAACCATGTCTCCTGCCCATGCAGGAGACACGAGTTTGATCCTGGCCCAGGAAGGTCCCGCATGCTGTGGAGCAATCAGGCCTGCGTACTACAACTCCCGAGCCTGTGCTCCAGAGCGCGGGATCCACGAGCACAGAAGCCAACACGCCCTACAGGCCACGCTCCACAAGCAGAGACGCTACTGCAATGAGAAGCCAGCTGACTGCAACTGGAGTGTAGCCCCCACTGGCCGCAGCCAGAGAGAAGCCTGCACAACAAAGACCCAGTACAGCCAAATAAACGATAAATTTTAAAAGTATGCATTTTTTAAAAAGGCATGCTTGGGGGCCACTCACTCTCACCTTCTAAAATGGGTCACATTCTCTCTATGGGATATGGGATATGCCCATCTCCTGGGGCCTCTCACCTTCTGGGGTGGCCCATACTCAGTCTATGAAGTGTGTATCCATAGACAGAATAAATAAAGCTGCTTTCCCTCTTAGTTCTTGGAGCACAGTCCCCTTGCCTGCCCACTTATATCTCTCATAAGTGCCCTATATTAATAAATCTACTTCTTGCCCATCAAAAAAAGAAAGAGATGCTTCAGAGCAAGAGGTGGGAGTGGGGAATCTAAATCTGGATGATGCAAATATTTAAGTGTAAACATGATCAGTTCAAAAGAAAATTGATCTGGGGACTGGCGACCTCATTATCATGGGATAATTGTGCTCACACTTGGCATTGCCTAGCTACAAAAGGAGCAGGCCGATCTCAAGACTGGGACGTAATGACTCACTCACTGACAACTTGCTCACAAATGGTAATCTGATGGGAAGTTAGTCACAGCTAGTTCAACCTGGACCCAGGCTTCAGAGGAGAGAAGCAGCAGGTATTTCATCAACAGTCTGGCTCCAGAACAAAGGAGACTTCCTACTTACTCAGCTGAATATACACTTTTGTTTAAAAACAAAATAAAACATGATTTTGATAGCCTTGTGTTTATGACATTTTGCTTTGGCTGTGCTCCAACTTCTACCCCTTCAGATACAGTTGATGAGTGTCACAATAAACAAAGTAAATATGACAAACATATAGTAGGATAATCATAATAAAGCTGAATCACTTTAGAAGACCTCAGAAGAGACAGCCCAATGTGCCCCAGAATCTGCATGCTACCGAAAGTTCTGAGTTTGTGAATTAAGGCATAAAGAGGGAGCACATACGAGCGAGATCTGTGTCTGGATCGTCTGTTGTTGGGGTCCGCCTGGTTTTTCTCCTTTTGTCTCCTTAACACAGCTTCCCACTGTGGTGCCGAATCAACCATATCATTCTCCTGCCGTATTCTGAAAAGAAACAACATTCACGTAAAGTTAACACCCACACAGGTTTTACCTTTATCAGTTCATCCTAAATGTGCTGTCAAAAAGTATCAAAGTTATCACAAAGGTCAAAGGTATCAAAAAGTTATTAAATAAACTATTTAGAAGTTATTAAGAAACGAAATGCAGATGACACCACCCTTATGGCAGAAAGTGAAGAAGAACTAAAGAGCCTCTTGGTGAAAGTGAAAGAGGAGAGTGAAAAACTTGGCTTAAAGCTCAACTTTCAGAAAGCTAAGATCATGGCATCCAGTCCCATCACGTCACAGCAAATAGATGGGGAAACAGTGGAAACAGTGGCTGGCTTTATTTTGGGGGGCTCCAAAATCACTGCAGATGGTGACTGCAGCCATGAAATTAAGAGATGCTTACCTCTTGGAAGGAAAGTTATGACCAACCTAGACAGCATATTAAAAAGCAGAGACATTACTTTGCCAACAAAGGTCTGTCTAGTCAAGACTATGGTTTTTCCAGTGGTCATGTATGGATGTGAGAGTTGGACTATGAAGAGGGTTGAGCACTGAAGAATTGATGCTTTTGAACTGTGGTGTTAGAGAAGACTCTTGAGAGCCCCCTGGACTGCAAGGAGATCCAACCAGCCCATCCTAAAGGAAGTCAGTCCTGGGTGTTCACTGGAAGGACTGATGTTGAAACTGAAACTCCAATACTTTGGCCACCTGATGCGAAAAGCTGACTCATTTGAAAAGACCCTGATGCTGGGAAAGATTGAGGGCAAAAGGAGAAGGGGACAACAGAGGATGAGATGGTTGGATGGCATCACTGACTCAGTGGACATGAGTTTGGGTAAACTCCAGGAGTTGGTGATGGACAGGGAGGCCTGGCGGTTCATGGGGTCACAAAGAGTCGGACACGACTAAGCGACTAAACTGAACTGAAGAAATGAAAGGCTATTTAAGAATAAGCAATTTTATTATAATCACTCAAAGCTAAGAATGTATTAAATATTAATATATCCATAAGTAGATAAGTGGGTATTTATATTTTTGATATATTAATATTTATATACAAATATGTAAATGTATACTGGTTATTTTCAGGCTTCGTCCCATTTAAATTCTTTTAGTCAAGAGACATGTGTCAAACAAATACTCATTTAAAACATATGTAGGTTTTGACTAAAGAAACAGTACTGTCTGCTAAACAATCTTAAATCATGAAACAAAATCATTTTATAAAAACATCTAAGTAAAACAGCAATGAATAATTCTCCTTTGCAATGTTCTTCAAAATTTCATTAAGTACCAGGTACAGTTCCCTATTTTTAAGATACAAAGCTAGAAATTCAAACAGTTAAATATGGTGGCATAATGCCTTGGCAGCGGGGCAGGCACAGAACATTCTGGTTACGCTTCTCGCGTGTTTCAGAGAGAACGAGGGCTGAGCACTCAGTGTGGCCAGGGTCCCGGCAGGGAGCACAGAATGAGGGAAAGCCAAGCTGAGGGGAGAGGGGCCTGGGAGCTCAGGCACTTGTCATGTGAGATCAGGGGATGATACTATCAATCCTGTCAGCTTTTAAAAGATAATCTACAAATCTGGACATTTTTTAAACGAACTCTTGAATTTTGAAGTAATGGCAACCAATTATGAGTGTGAAGATACTGAATGGACCTAGAAAAAACAATCATGGGCCACACTAAGTCTGCAGATACATCAAATCTTTCTAAAAACACGGTGAGGAGTTACAGGGGAGAGAGGGAAACAAGTATTAACTTAAAGCAAGTGCTTAGTTAATGTGTAAATGATGTCTAGAATGCACTGATGCTGTGAAGCCATGAGTATTTCTTGCAAAAACCAAACAACTGTTATCTGAATCTTTAACTCTGAATTTATGTAAGTTCTTGAGGAAGCCACTCCAGGGTGTTTCTTACACTGCTGCTCCCAGGACATGGCAGAGCAGCATGGCATCACACGGTAATCATCCCAGTACTGGGACTGCATGGGCATAACTGTTTCAAAACAGAAATGAAAAGAATAGACAGGTCTGGAGTCATTTCTTTCACTGAACAGATGTCTTTTGGTTGCCCTCTTACAGCACAGTGGGATGGATATCTGTATTTCTTATAATGCAAATCAGGAGACAGTGACAAATATTCATGCCACTTAAACAGAGACAAAGGAAAGCAAACTGGAGCCTTAAAATAAAAAAACAGAAACAAAGTAGCTTAAAAGGAAAAAGCTGTTTACATCTCTCTGTATTAAAGAGGAATTGTGTTAAGTAAAAAATTATCTGTAACACACTTCAAGTCTTTGAACTGTATATGTTTCCTCACTAAAGCTTTCATTTCTATTATTTGACTATTAACAGGATACAGTCATGGTATTTTTCACAAATTCAAGAACATAGTTCCCTCTCTCATGATATATGCAAAGGAAATTAAAATTGAACATATATGGTTATTAATCTGAATATTAGAAGTAACTAAAGAAAAATATGAGAAGATATACGAATATGAGAAATAGCTAAAGAAAAATATGAGAAAATATGCAATTCAAAGTCATATTATATTAATAATTCTTTGAAACACACAGTTATTTTTTATATTTTGACTACATATACAAACACATATGTGTATGTATTTTCATAGCCAAAACCTATACCTGCGATACATTCCGTGTATCATGTGACAGCCAGTGACCAACCAGACCTGCTGGGGGAGAAGTGTCCTGCACACCCGGAGGACTGAGGAGTCCAAAGTTAGGAAGAGATGGTCAGTGTGAAGGTGTCAGGCTGGCAAGGAGATATCTCCCTTCTCACAGGAACCCACACCTATTGCCCGGGGATAGACACAAAACCAGGTCCATGTAACTCCCAAGCCTGGAGTCTTTTAGATGTAGCTTCCATTCTGAACTAAATCACTGCATAGTTCATGGACAGGACTAAATTTCACTAATTTTATTTTTAATCAGTTAAGTCAGAACCTTTAAATATTTTTGAGGGGTCACATGTACCAGCAAGGGTGAAACCTGACTGAGGCAAACATACTTTTGCTAGAGGAACATTCCCTAGACAATTCAAAGGAAACACAAGGAGTATATGCTCATTCTTCTGTTGTGGACTTTAGCTAGTTACCTTCATGCTGAGGCTTTTCTCTGATAACAAAAATGAAAACTCCTACTTCCAGTACTTTACTAGTAATAAGAACTATATCAGAAAGAATTTCAGACCGTGGCCTGTACCTTTAACTTCTGTTTTCCTAATCAAAAAGTCGAAAGTGAGGGCAATGAAACCCTGTCAGTTAATATCCTTGGGACCCACATGTTCCAGAGACAGATGCCCTCTACCGGTGATGCAGCTTCATAAATATTCTAACAAGGAGCATTAAAAATGTAAGGCCCATTGGACAGTGACAACAAAAGCACATTTTCCTAAGTAATGGGCGGTGTGGCTGCCTTAGTCCGTAATGAAGTTTGAAATTACACCCTTACAAAAGGACTCTGGTTAATGGTACCTCATTACAAGAGTGAAAGTGTCATTTCTTCCATCACTGACCTGCTCCAGAAAATACAGATGTCACTTGGAAAGGAAAAATCTTACCCTTAAAGGCAAGAATACTGTAATACTGAGTCCTTAGGAGGCAGAAGTTAACTGTTTTGTTTATGCATAAGTAACTAAAGAAATCTTTACATGTACAACACATATCCTATAATGGTTCCATCTTGTGAGTCTCATTTCTCCTGAGTCGTGGGCCACACAAAGTATTGGGTTTTGCTGATTTCCTGATAGATTTTAATTTTAACGTAGGAATTTAAATTATGAAGAATAAAAACACTGTAAGCATTATATTGATATAGGGCCTTTTGAAAAGTCAAAATGTTTTATATTTTGACTTTTTACAGGCATGAAAGTGTTAAGGGGGGAAAGAGTCCGTTGCAACTTTTACTAGGAATATGTTCATTTTCAAATGTTATATTTAAAGTTGAACCGCAAAAATGCTAAACATTTCTTTCCTGTATCCACTAAGGCAATAACTCTACATATCATATTTTGTCTATTTCCTCAGTACAACTAAGAAGACTTAACAGCTAGACTAAGAAGCCTAACCATAAGAAGCCTTTTTTTTTTTTAATTCTCCATCATTTTATTTTATGTTTTTTTGGCTACGCCACATAGCATGTGGGATCTTAGTTCCACCAACAGGGATGGAACCCACAGCTCCTGCAGTGGGAGTGCGGAGTCTCAACCACTGGACCACCGAGGAAGTCTCGGCTTTTGTGTTTTAGTTAATGTATAAGGAAGAGAGTTGTTCTAGATCAGAGCATTTTCCAGTAATATTTCAGAATAAGGGAGTTCTGATATATTTCCTTCATATCTCACCAAACTTCAACACCCTACTTTTCCAGGCTATCCATGCAATTTAGATTTTAACTGCATTTGACACTTAATTAAAGTTTGTAAAAGATTGTGGAGATGAAATGCCATATAATCATTTGATAACAATAATGAAGATAATGACTATTCTTAGTCTCTTCTTTCCATCTTCCCAATTATAGCTCTGCTTCTTCTGCAAAATCCTTCACATTACCAAGTGAATTCTTATACAAATCTTGGTGGATTTTACTTTGTCCTCTACCTTCACCAGGGCAGTTTCATTCCTAACAGTACATTCCTTTAAGAACAGTACAGTTCTTAATTCATTTCTCCTTCACTGAGATTAAAGTCCATGTTTAATACAAAACCTGAGCAATCTTACAGAGCAAATGTAAAATGACACTTTCAATGATAAGGAGCAATGCCCGTTGCTCCTGAGTTCAGCCTAGTTCCAGCTCTGTTCTATCTGACTCAGAGACCCCTGAGCAAAATGTTGAACCTTCTTTGGTAAGTCTGTTTCTTCATCTACTGAATTACTGTGATGACCCTTTCCAGATTTAAAGCTCCATGTCTCACACTTTATGCTGCATTTAGAAGGCAGCCAGACTCTGAAACAAACCTCTACTCTTCAGCG